GTGTGTGTGTGTGTGTGTGTATATTTACACACACACATATATATATATATATTCATTCATAAAATTCATACAAAATACATACATGAATACATACATAGATACATATTTACGTACATACATACACGCATACATACATAGATTCATACTTATATAATATGCATACACGTACTATATATATATATATATATGTAAGCATGCTTTACATATAAATATACGTATACATATATGTATATACATACTATATAGATATGGAAATAATTATGGATACATGGATATATGTGTCGGTGCTCCGGGCACGGAGACAAGATACTGTCCCATATTTACCTCTTTATCATGTGCTTATATAAACGCAAGCCGGCGTTGCTATCAGAATATCTACATCACACAAGTCAGGAATTGGTTTCCGTTTGCCCTTCGCGCGTGTACTGACAGTTCGCAGCGACGTTTTTTCGTGGAACACCTCGGTTTGCTGTGTAACCAGACTTAAGGTGGGTACCAGGAATAGGACCTACAGAAAGTATGTCAGCCCATATGTCGAGTGTTATCACAATTCTTTTGATTGTCTTGTACATAATTGTGCTAGCCGGATGTTTCAAAATTAAAACCAAGGCATTGGGCGACCTCACTCTACAAGTTATACAAGTCAACTTGTCATTAAACAAATACATGAAATACTGTTTATCTTTGCAAGCGCATGTGAATGAATATATTTTAGCACATATCAGAACATGATAGCATTTATTGAGTGAGCAAGAATCACCTCGACATGTTTTGGAGTCGCCTCAAGTCATATTAATTGATGCAAACCAGTATCTCCACTGCAAAACACATACTTCAATATCGCTCGGACATCGAATACCTGTGCTGGAAAGGTAGGCAACCGCATCACCGGTTGAAGCTAATGTGGCTATGACTTCATCTCTCAAAATCTTGTTCATGTAACAAGTTTGGTAAAAATCTGCTATCGGCTTGAAACTCTTGAACCAAGGTGACAGAACTAATAAGAGATATTTAGCCAGCATTGGACTGACTTTGCGTTCACCAGAACTATTATTAGTGGAAAATATGCTATTAATTCCAATTCAGACTAAACTTATTCTATGAAGATATCGAAAATTACATATTTTTTTTAGTCTTGAACGTGCCACGACATGCTCAGAAAGCGCGCACGCTATCCTCGTCTTGCCGCTGCCCGTTGGCAGAATGGCTATAGAATTGTCATTATTAGCCAAATTGAAAGCTAATGCCTGATATGGGCGTAGGTGAACCATATGGGGATGTCAATGTCGACGCTACAGAAGTTCTTCTAAAATTGCTTGTACAAATAATATCCCCGACGAGACGTAGAAGTGAGTATGTAAATAGGCATCTGTGCGTTGTAAATTACCTTGGCTCTATGAGCATAAATCGCTCTGTTTGTGACAGGAGTGGGATCTATTTACCAGTAGAGGAAATCCTGGGGAAATCAGTGATGGACAGGCCATAGTGGCGGTGAAAAGGAATGTTGTTTAGTGGCGGTGAACAAAAAGGTAGATATAGTAAGGGTGAATGAAAGGGTGGGTATAGCAGCGGTAAAAAAAATGTTGGGCATACTAGTAGCGGGGAAGCACTTGGGAGTTACACCTAATTCAAACGAAATGTACTAAATATAGTTAAAACCGGAGCCCGGAGGTATGTGTTGGCGCGATAAAATAAGGCATGTTTATTTGTATAATTTAGAAGGCTATGGTTTATTACTGAAAGCGCAAACTTTTGGGCCAGTCTTTTTTAAAAATAAGGGTTCATCGCCGAATGCGTAGCTGTAGAGTACCTATTGCTTTTATTGAACTTGAAATCTGTCTGGAACGCTTTTCCTCATTTGTAGGCCCACAAGAGGCCCGTCAGAGATCCTAAATAAAATTTTGTTTCAGTACATAGGGCATACTTTTGTGGGTCCGTTATTGACGGCTGAAAAGAAAGGTTTTATAAAAAAAGGCGGAGGGGCTTTCCCAACCCCCCCCCCCCCCCCCGTCCCGGGTGATTGTGTTTATGTGTGAGCGTGTGTGACTGAACAACAGTGCGTATTAGTGTGTGTGTGTTGAGTGAAAGTGAGGGAGAAAGGGTCCTTCATGAAATCTCAGTATCTCACCCTCAGCTCACCCTCAGCTCACCCTGTGCGGATATATTTTTAATAGCTACCCTCTTAGGAGAAAGGCTTTTGGTCTCTGCGGCGCCCTAGCCGTGTTTTATAAAATTTGGTTCAAATTCATGGATTCAAGGGCCAGAGTCCTAAAATGACAGTGTTCTCGGCTCGGCTTTCATGAACTATTTCAGATTAATTTCTTGACTGATGAAGAGTAACCGTAAAAATTGGCCAAGAGTGTGATTAAAAAAATTGTGAGTCGTTATTTATTAACAATGTTTCGAAGCTTGAACCTTAAACTTCTTGAAGTGCTATCCGAATTTGACAAAACGCACTTTTGTTTCGCGTTCAACTTTCAAGGCTATGAAGGATTTCATTGGCTAATATGCCTTGAATGAAAATTTCGAAGACCAAATTAATTTTTAGTCTAGTAACTACTCTAAGTTTAAAAAAAAATGCATTCGTTTTGAAGGCACCCCTCTACAAAAATATGTTTTCTCTAATAACGCTGATACGGTCGGGAAAACATCATTGAAAAAGTAATATTATTACCTATCAACAAATGCTTTAAAAACCCCAATAGAGTAGCCTATAGGATTCGTATTCGTTGTGGTTTAAAATACACTACTGTATCTCCATTCTCCAATCTCCACTCATTTCATTTGTTTTTGTTTTAAAAAATATAAAAGTTAGACGGAGCATTCTTACATGAATTATCTTGTCGTTCTTTACTTATTCTTATTTGTTTTTTAACAAAAACAAACAAAAACAATCTGATGAAGTGGAAAATGGAATGTTTTTAAAAATTTGCAATATCATAGACATCTAAATTAGACAAATAGTACCATTATATAAGACATAAGTCACAAGGCTATAACAATATCAAATCAATATTTTTATTAATTAAAAAAATAATATATTGTACATATTTTAAAAATAGAGTATTTATGTACATATGTATACAGTTTGTTATTTTATTTTATTTTAAACATTACACGAATCAAGTAAATATAATATGTATTTCTAGTGTACATATGTACACATACTAAAATACACCGTAAATACAGCAAGTACAAATAACAACGTATCTCTTTTGTTTTAAAAAAATGATTGCCATTTTTTATATATAAAATACGCTATTCAATTATTTATGACCGTATTTTCAAAATTCGAATGTCTTTATACGGCACTGGTGACAATAAAATTATTAGCCACCTCAGGCCCAGTTTCCTACCAGTCTCATACTTAATACATTTGAGTTTATTTTGCTTTTAAAAGATGTAATTAGCGTGATTTTAGCCCATTTATTGTACTTGTTGTACTAGTTCTTTGTCGGCCTCAGAGGAGAGGTCGACGTATGTTAGACACAAATAGTGTCAACTGTAAAACCATGGGCGAATCCGAAGCAGTAGCTAAGACAGAGGACGCCTATATACACGTGTCTAACTGCTAACATATGTCAAGCCCTTAAGACCGACAAGGACCATGACTTAGGTATAAGCACTACTGATGCATCAGTCATGTCCCAGTGTGGTACTGCAACTCCGCGCATACTGCCATCTAACGTAAGTGCAACAAATGGGTTGTATCCGCGCTACAATATCTAACATTTAAGTCGAGCGCTTTCAGCCGACAGATAACAAACGAACCGGCAGAAAACAAACACATCTCACAAGTGCGGTCTTAAATTCACGCTAATTACATTAATACACCTATATCTAAGCAAATTTAACTCGAAAAAGTATAAGTATGAGACTGGTAGAAAACTGGGCCTGATATGATTAATAGTTTTATTGTCACCAGTGCCGTATAAAGACATTCCTCTAAAAACATTTTGGCGCCAGAAATAGCCGACAACGTGACAAGGGTAGCAGCGGCGAAGTCGTCGCCTCGTCGCCCGTCGGTCAAATCTACATTCATTCTTTCCATCAGTGTGTGGTTGTGTTGCGTGTCATTACAAGGTTTACGTGAAAGTGACGCTAAAATTTCATTGGTTAATTTGAGCTACGTAGTCCGTTTCGTTGGAAATAGGTGCATCTTGTAAGTGCATTTTTCAAAATATCATTCACCATATTTGACCCCCAAAATGTTACATAATTTATATATATTCGTCTTTACGTTGACCGAGTATGATGAAACTATTTTGTAAAAGTAATATCTGAAATTCTGAATTTATTGATACTGCTATTTAACTGACTACTGTGAACAGTACAAAAATGATAAATATGATGTGCATTTCTTTTTAGAAAAATCTATTTTGTTTGTTTCGAAATAAATATAAGTTTTACAAAATAAAATAAAATATTCTTTTGTGCAAGTCCGAACTTCCGAAGTCCAAACTTCCAGATTGTCACTCCCAACTTCCAAAGTTCCCAACTACCCAAGTCCCAAGTCCCAACTCCCAACTCCCTTCAATCTCATAAGTCACTAGTCTTTAGTCACATCTGTCGCAAGTCCTACTAGAGTCCAGACCCTAACCTTCATATATTTAAAAATAAATTGGCAGTCTTTTTTTCTTCATTTTGACCCAATTTTAGAATTTATAGAATATTTGTAAGGAATATAAAACAAACCTTATATTTGTTTTAGAAGAATAAGAAATATAGAAAGAATAATTTTTTTTATTTGTCAATATTTAAAAAACTATTTGTCGTCCCGCAAAAAAATTAAAAATGTATCTTTAAGGCTATAATCTTCAGGAGTTGTTTGTGAGAGTTCCTGTGGGCCTGTGGCCATTTATGTACTCTAAAAAATATGTAGTCTGGCTACTGGCTACCGGCTTGTGAGTTGTGAGTTTGAGTTGTACTCTCTTGTGAGACTGTGCTATGGAATTGTGGCAATATACGGTCAATCTTCAACGTTTAGCGGGTAGAATTTAAACGTAGGAACGTTATACGTTATGAATTTAGAGTTTAGACTATGGGTCTGTGTCACTCTGTGGCTCTGTGCATCCGTGGCCGGGTGGCCCTGTGGCCTCAGGCCTGTGGAGTGTGGGCTGTACGGGCTGCGTGCAATTAGTCGATTAGAAACAAAAAAACAAAACAAAAATTATCTATCTGACTATATTTACGTATAAACGTTATGTGGGTCATATGCTAAATACGAATTCTTAATTCCATATTCTCCAACTTTTATCACATATTCCATATTTCAGTTTTTAAATTTCCCAGGGCCCCAATTACCAATATCGATATCATAAATATCACTAAATATTGTTATTGACAGACTTCTAAAGGTGTTTTCCACATGTGCGTCAGTCTCCACATATAGCTCTAAAGAGAGATTTACGACTAATTTACGAAATATTGGCAAAATCCATAGCCTTCTTCTAAATTGAACTAGAAGGCTACACATGCAAAATCAAAATTGATCAAGAAGGCTATTGTTCAATTTAGAAGGCTATGCAAAATCCGTCTATATTCCAATCTCGTGCTTTTTGAGTGTACAATTTACATTTGCCAAGTTTTAAAAAAAAAGCCATACCGCCGTACATATTTTAGGATTTCCAAAAATGATAAATATTGTACGCATTGAAATTATAATACGGCAAAATTTCGCCAGTACATAAATGTTTCTCTTCATAAATATATGTACATAAATACCAAGGCCTGCGGAAGTCCTCTCACTCTGAGGCGAGTTTAAAAATAAAAAATTATAACTGTTCTGTTTTAAACGAGAGTAGAGAATAGAGTAAGAGAATGCGTTTCAAACTCAAAAATGTTTCAATTCAGAAGGTTATTGTTTTAGCATTCAAGAGTATTGTAAATATTTATATGTCAAAAACTTCAAAACTTCGGCTTCACACCCTCTTTTTTGGTTTGGGTTTTGTTTTTAAACAAAAAACAAAAAACAATTTTTTCTTGTTGAGATTTGTATTTGTATATCAAAAAAACAAATCATGGAATAAAAACAAAAAATGCCAAGACTACGACTATGTACATAAACTCGATAACGATTCTGTGCGACTCATAACTGCTGATTCGTTTCAGACTTTCAATTACATTCACACTGACCTAAACCGGTGCAATACTGACTGCGTTGAAATTGTTTCGTTTGCGATAATTAATTTCGCTGCAGAGCTCGATTAATTACGATGCAAGGAACGGATCTGGCACAGAGTGTCCAACCAATATATAGCAATAATGGAAGCATTAGTGAGGGCGCAATTGAGGCTTATGAGCCAATCGAAAGGAGTGGGATACCAACGACGATAGGTGAGGAAGAAGGCGTAGGTATTATTGGTACCTTAAGGAACATCCGAAAGAATCAGAGTGTGACCGGGGTGGAGTACAATACGATCTCCTTCTGGCTGTTTCTATGTAGTTTGACTTTCAATGGTGTAGTGATCGGGGTCATTTATTACTTCGTCGACTCGCGTACCTTTTTAATTCAGGACGACCACAATGTGGCTTTCTATGGTACACTAGGTGTCAGCCTGCTTACACTTCTTGAAATAATCACCTCGGCTGGATATTGTATATACAAAAGAAGCGAACCTCTCCCAAAAAGTCGACTGACAGCACACCTGGCAGTCCAATGTGCGTCGTTAACTACGCTGACTATTTTGACATGTGTCGTCACAGTCGACTACCTAAGAATAATAACCGTTCCTGAAGCTGTGAAAATAACACTGATAGCAGTGCGATGGTTAGCAATCGGTGTATCATTGGGTGCATTAGTCGCACGTCAGCGGCTCATGTACATCATATTCTCCAGTTCGATCAAGGTGCGTCGCAATGCACAACGAGTCTACCTGGGGACAATATCGTTCTGCACGTTTATATGCGTTATAATGCTGATCCCCTTCGTAATAATCTATATGGCTGACGATGGTATGTACAGAAAATGGGCACTTCTACCTTTGGCGATCTTGAGCTGTTTCTCCCTTGTCGTTCTACTACTGTATACCTACAAGACAAAAGCTACCCCGGTGTTCTCTGATACACGATCAAACGTCCGCATTGCTTTAGTCTTGTGCATTGCATTGGTAGTCAGTTATGTGGTTGGCAGATTGGTACTCGCACCAGAACCAAGCGAGGTCACACTAGAAACGAAGATGAGTTTTGTTTTACTTCCCGCGTTCCTTGGACTTTTCAGTGTGTGCGTCGTGGTGAATGAATTGTTCGGAACGATTGCGCTTATTACGTATCTCGGCTATGATTTGCGTGGAGGGATAGATCCTCTTAGGAGAGATAATGCAACGTCACAAGTGGCTTTACCCCAAGAGGTTTCCGAAATTGCACGAACTGCGCGGATAGTAGACGATGAGAAAAAGTCGATGAACGGAGTCAGAAGCAGCATCGTCCCAGCCCAGGACACGAAGTCTTGCACAAACGCATCATATGCAGACGTCTAGTCGTCTTTTACAATTTAATATTGTTGTCCGTGCACATCCCCACGACGAACATTTAACAGTTCATATTAATTCTGGAATCATACAAATAAACTTTTATACGTTGGCTTGTGCATACATGAATTAATAATTTCCATATGTACTGTCGGAGAGTGCAGATGTGGTCTCCAGTAGACTAGTACTAAGGCGGTAAAATATTCATACACACATATATAACATATGTGCAACAAAAAAAAAACAACACACACACACACACTCACTCACACGCACCATATATATAGATATATATATATATATATTATGTATTTATATATATATATATATATATATGTACAAATATATATATATATATATATA